TAGTAATCCTGGGTGCACTGACTGAGGTTGGGTTGAATCTATGAGCACAAGGTATCTGCTCAAGGCTTTGGGGCTTATCATTTACTGAGCAGTCCTCACCAGGAAGAGGGTTGCACTGTGTCTGTCTTTCTCATTTGCCAATTTTCAAATAAAGTATTTTAGGGATGCTATATAATAGCACTTCCCTACGGTTTGAGGAAATACCAGCTACAGCTACATAAAAAATGTAAATTTTTTTTATTTTATTATAGTTAAAAATTATAATTTCTCTTATCAGGTAAATCACAGCACCATTTCTAGAGTATCACAGTAATTTGTTCATGAAGAAATTTCATATTTGTAAGAGTTTAGAAAAATAATTGATTTTTAAGCTTTATTATTAAATCACATTATTTTTTCATCGTGCATCTATTCTGTCAATTGTTATTCTAAACTTGACTTATGAAAAAAAGGCAAATGTATTTTGATTTAATAGAAGAGGCCAATATGTAGGATCTTGTCTAATATAATCAAACTTCAAAACATATTTTTCTTACTGTTATCCATTACAAACTCACAGTATAACTCCTGCCTTTCTTTCCTTTCTTTATTCTTCCTTTTTCTTTCTTTCTTTCACTTTTTTCTTCTAGAAATTTTGTTGAGAGCTGAACTTATGTCAAGTACCATGCTGGTGCTTTAGATCAGTGGAAGTTACAGAAAAATAATTATAATCAATATACCAACTGTTATAATGAGACATAAAATGTGCTTCCAAAAGCACTAGAACAATATTTCAACTTCACATTGTTTTGTGGCAGATGCATCTCTGCCGTGGGGGTTACTACACTGAGGACTGAGACCCTTTGTCCTGTAATAACTCGCCACTGCCATATACGGTGCTTCACACATCCTAGGCACTTGGTGAATGTTTGTTTAGTTAAAGGGAATACATTTTGGAAAACACGTAATGTCATAATCTGGAGACTTTCTCGAAAAGAAGTTCAAAAATAATTTTAGAAGTATTACATGCTTATTGGATAGACTTGTAAAATCCAAAGACAAAATAAAAAATAGTTTGTTATCTATATGCCCATCGCTGAGTAATAATTTAATGCATTTCTTTTACATTCATTTCCTTTGCATATTGGGCAAATTAGTATTGATATATTTACATACAATTGTGGACAGTATTCATTTATTAGACTGTATTTCCCATGCCATTACAGTTTTCAATATTAGACAGTTTAATGGCTGCCTAATATTTTACAAGGATTTATAATTTAAACATTACATGATTATTGAGCAATTAGGGTTTTTTTTAACAATGGTTTATAATTATAAATAATTACACTGCCTTAGTATTCTGGCTACATAAATCTCGGTCCTTATCACTAATTATTTTGCTAAGGATCATATATTTTGGCAAGTAAATAGTATAGAGAAAAGAACTTGGGGATTTATTGAATATGTTATTCCAAAATTGAAATATTATTTCAAGCTGAAGGTGTTAATTATTTTTAGTAATTTTTGCCTATAATTAAAATATATACCTGTTAAGAGTGCTAATCTAAACATTTTCATAGGATTTTGGTGCTCAGAAAGGCAAATGATTTGAGTTAGCAAATTGTTGTTTTACTCAGTATTTTTGTTCATATCTTGCATATAGGCAGTTGCTTATAAATGCTCTTTGGAGAGATGAATAAATAGAATGCATGAAATGGAACATTATAGAGGAGCTTAATAAACAAATTTGTTGGCAGTTCTGAGAGAAACATAACATATACATGTCAAGTCTTTTCTAATACCATTTGAAGGTACTCCTGACAAAATTCCTTATCAATGAATAAATCCTCTAAAGAAACTATTTAGAATCACATTCAATTTGCCATTGCTATCCCAAAATTTAGTAGTTTAAGACATCCATCTGTTATTTTCTCTCATGCTTTTGGCAACTGACAGGCTCAGCCAAGCAGTTCTTGCTTAAGAGTTCTCAGGCAGATCCTGGCAAATGGTTGCTGAAGCTCAAGGCATCTGAAAGCTTCTTTGCTTGGATCTGGTGTCCTGGAAGAGCTGGGGTCAAGTGGAGTGTCTCCTCCTCAATGTGGCCCCTCCAAATGGGTAGTTTGCTCTTCTTTAGGTAAAGGTTATCTTAGTGTAATCAGACTTCTAACCTGGCAGCTAGCTTTCCCCATGGATCTATTCTAGCAGCCCTGGAGTGAGACTCAAAGCTTCTTAAAATATTGCCTCAAAAGTTATATACCATTATCTACCAAGTCCAACAGATACAGAACAGCCCAGATTTCACAATAGGCTCCAGTTTTCAGGAGGAATTAGTTGCTTATACACAGAGCAAAGAAGTAAGGGTGGCCATTTTATGCACAGACTAAGACAAAGTCCTTAATGTGTTTTTCAAATGACATCTCTACCTTTCTATGTGATTTTTAAATGGCCTTAATGTGTTTTTCAAATGACATCTCTACCTTTCTATGTGATTTTTAAATGGCCTTTCCCTAACACACACTGTCTTTGCTATCTTCCATCAATAGAAACTATTTCCTAGACTAATAGCAAAATAATGAAGGATCTCTATACTATTTTCTTCTTTCAACAAATCAGATTTTATAATCACATCTGTATTCAAATCTCAGCTATGTCATTCATAGCAGAATGAATTGGGCTAGTAACTACTTTTCATAAAGAATGGACTTTGATGCCCAGTGCCTAACATAAAATCAAATAGACGGTGTGGACATTGACTGCCTATTTTTAACTAAATAATCTCTTCAAGTTTCTATTATAATCTCTATTAAATAGGGATAATGAAGACCACCTCACAGTGACATGGTGATAAATGAATAAATTAATGTTTGGAAATAACGTAGTATAACATCCTATAAGATAGTGAGAGTATGGTAGCTACTACTATAATTTTATTTAATATGTCAGTTATTATATATACTTCTATTACTATCACCAATCTCACAACTTATTACATAACTTCTTCAGTACCTAGATCCAGTTTATTTTCATCAACACAACATTAGCCACTGTTTTGATATTGCTGAACATATTAAACATATTTTTATATAAGGCCCAGACCTTGCCGGGCTTAATAATCATGTTCTTCACTTCATTCCTGAAAACCAAAATGTCACTCAACACTACCCTACCTTTAAAAATCACAAATCCTGGCCATTTCTCTTTATAATACAAATTTCTAGTGTTATATCTTTCTCCCAATATAAACCTGTCTCTGATTCCTCCCCTATTCTCGTCTGTCTGTACCTACTCCCTACCCCCACATCCCTCGACCATTACCTATGTCCTTGGCATCTGGGATAATAAATAGCCACACACTTTCAAACTTCTACGTCTAAATACATCCCCCTAACTTCTTCAGCTCCCACTTTCCTAGCCTCCCTGACTTGCTTAGTTCCATTTCAAAATAACGTAGTCTAATAAATATGGAACTCCGATCCTATTCCAAAATCTTTGTATTCTCTTTTTGCATTCTTTCATCACCTGCCTCACCCAAACTTTCTTCTCATCCTCCAGTCCCAGTCTCTTCACTCAATCATCCTGTTTTGTAGACAGTGTGTGTAATTCATTAGTGAAAAAGTGAGCATCACGATTGCTATCTCAAAGGCTTTCTGTTTTCATTATTTCAATGTAGCTTCTTTCACCCCTCTTTGTGGAAACACTGCCATCTCATCTCAGGGATGTCCTTTAATCCTACACGCACAGTCACATTCTTCTACCTATCAACTTCCTGATGGATTCAGTAATAGTCCCTTTTTTCCAAATCTGTGCTTTCTTTCATCTGCTGCTGCTGCTGCCCATCTTGGGTAAAATGTTTATCCTTCACCTTCTAGAAATGTCATCTGCCCTAAAGAGGCTTGGAATCTCTTTCTACATTTCACTGTTCAGTCTCTACTCAGACATCTTGACTAATTACTCTTTCTCTTTGGCACCCAGTCATCTCTTAGCTCCTTGAAGTCAATCTCAGTCCATACCTCTTAGACTACCTAACCACAAAATCTAGAGAGCAACTTACTACATGAGAACCAATTCAGTAATTATAACTTAAAAGTACCAGCATGATATTTTTATTCAAAATAAAAGCCTTCTTGCTACTTGAATAGTTCATGTCATGGGATAGAACAAATGTCAGTAAGAAAACTGATGTTACTTTTAGCCACTAAAATGTGAATACCTATATATTTTAATGCTATTTAAATAACTATTTTAGGAATAAAAATAAAATGATACATTTCTCCTCAAATCAGATGATAGTTATTCATTGAAGAAGTCCATTTATGCATAGATTAATCACGACCATTCTTTACCATTCTTTCATCATCAAAGGCAATTAACTGTCTCTAATTCACTCCCTCTCCATACCTACAACAAATGAACCTAATTACAGTCTCTTTTAAATTTTTAACAAACTTTATGTATTCCCAACTTCTGGTATATGTACTTTCCTACTCCTATTCCATACCAACATAATTTCAAATCCTTTTGTATCTCTTTTGTTGGATTTTAAGTACTTGATAGACTGCATGACAGTGCCTGGATGTGATAGACTTTTTGAACATGAAATTAGCCCCATCCTCCGATAGCTTTGTGAATGAATGGAATTGTTTTTATTTTCTATAGCATTGCCTAGAACTTTCTGCTACTTTCTTTGTAAACTGTGACTTATTGCAACAGCTGTAGTTGATAGTGACATTTATATCTTTGTGTCTGGTTTTAATTTTTTCTTTTCATATAAAATATAATGCTAATTAGTAGTTGCCTCTAGGCACAAACTATCAGGAAAATATTCAATCTATAATTAAGTTCCCCCTGAAGTCCTAGAAACCAATTTTCATCCTCTAACTCTTTGCTGTCAATTTTCATTAGTGAATACATATTTAAGATGATTACATTGTTTGATGAGATCCATATTGGAAATACAATTTCTCATGGCTCCTCGTCGTGCTCTGCACTTAGCTTCATCCATTGCCTTTTTCCTATAGGTCCCCCAGGCCCACCAGGGATAGTAATTGTTGAGGAAATCACGGAAAGCACAGCCACCCTGTCCTGGAGCCCAGCAGCTGATAACCACAGTCCGATCTCTTCCTATAACCTGCAGGCTCGCAGTCCCTTCTCCCTGGGCTGGCAAACTGTGAAAACAGGTAAGAGATCTTAGGGCAATGCTCAGACACATCAGCTTCTTACCTCATGGGGTAAATTCGTGAATCATCTAAGATGTTTTTGGATTCTGGAAGCTTGCCTTATTTATTACAATATTGACTGCTATTTACGTCTTTTCATGAACCTGAGGAACACAACCTCCATCACTTTCTTCTTTTCTCAAGTTCCAAAGAGGAACCACATCTGATTTGTTAGAACAATTTTAGAATCACATAAAAGTTGCAAAAATAGCAGGTCCACTCCTCAGATTCCCCTGATTATAACATGTTACATAACCATGCTATAATTATCAAATCAAAAAAGGGACATTAAAAAAAAAAGGGACATTAAGGCAATATTGTCAGGGAAACTCCAAGCCTCAATCAGGTGTCACCAGCTCAACTGGCAATTTTTGTTAAAGTAGAGTTCTATAATAAACTCTGAAATTTTGTTGTATAGATTCCAGGTAGGGAGTAAAACTGTTCCATTGTCCACTTCCTTGAGCTCCTCCTCCACAATCACACATGGATTTTGTATATAAAAAGAAATTTAATGTGAACTATGTTATTTAAAACAGTCTAATATTTTAATGCCTACTCTTAGGATTTTAATATAGTTACCACATATTTATTTTATGGTACTAGGTATTTAAACACATTGAACTACCACCAAATCCTTTTTAAATTTTTTTACATTTTAGACAGGCTCTAAGTTGCCCATACTTTGCTCAAACTTGTTATTCCTGCCTCAGTCTCCCAGTATACTGGGATTACAGGAATGTAGCACCATACCCAGCTAGTCCCTTTATTTTAAAAATTATTTTTGACCCTAATGGTTTTCTTTTTATGTTGTGTAACTACACTTTTCTTCTCTCTCAAAATGTTACAGTCCAGCAAGAATATGTAAAATCACACTCGCTTGGTGGTTATTAGATATGTATTTACCTTCAGAAGCAGTTATCCACACTGGCTAGGGATATGTGGTTATGTTTTACTTCAAAATTGATTTAAAAGTGAAATATAAGAATCAGTAAAATATTTTAGTTCAGAAACACTAAAATTCAATCAGAATATTACGGCAATGGAGTAGTCTATTTGTTCCTTATATAAATAAAACAAGCAGAGAGTTATTTTGATATAAAGTTTACAATCATAGAGAAAAATTCATATATTTACATGCAGAATGTAATGTAGATTTGACATATTTATGCTTCTGCATTAATATAGGCCTCAATATGATTATCATTACAGTGTGCTATACACATATATACATATTTTTGTGATATATATGTGTAATGGTTTCATTCTTGGCCTCATTATAATCTGTGAAGCCACTGGAAAACCAAGAAATTGAGGAAAATCTATGGAGATGGTAGGTTCAGGAAGGACACAGATTCATGGCACACAAACCAATTTATGCAAGAATTCTTATAACTTCCACCCTAGTGCTCCCATATTATCTCTAGTGGCACAGTTCAAAACTTTCACTACCCTGTGGCTAGGATATGGACTCAGTGTCAGACCTGGTGCTGTGCACCACCTATTCCAGCAATAGCAAACCGTTTAGAGCTTTCGATGACACAACAGCCTGCTGAGGCAAGTGTGCCATAGGTTTGCCACCTCCTTCCTGAGGCTATGCATCTGCTCATTCTTGCACATGAACCTACAGACTGCTTCTAAGTATGTTTCTTCTGAAGACGTCAGTATATATAAATATTTATTTTATGCCCATAGTAATTCAGAACATCTTATATTCCCCCTACTACATTACATACTTCCCTTGTTGCATTTATTCTCTGATTCCTGTAGCATTCCTGTCCCTAGTTTTCCTTCTTGGCTCATCTGTTTCTACTTCTTGTTCAGGTGAGTATGAGTTTGGGACTGCACACACCTGTAGTGTTTAAGCATTTGGATTAAATATTGCATTTATTTTAGAAATGCCTACTGTAAGTGTGCATCTTTATCCTTCTAAATAATTTTAATACTAGAAACACATTTATGTTAGGAGTGCTTTAATTATGTTCATCAAGGACTTATTCAAATTCTGTGGTTTGCTATATTTATAAGTAAATGCATTATTTCACAAATAGATTTCTGTAATTGGCCAATTTTATTTACCTTTCATAGTACTAGGTAACTACAAGGTGTTGATCCCTTAATCTAAATCAATGTCATCAAAATAAATGCTAAAACAGAAGTATCTATGAGGAAAAAACAATCTGGAGTTTAAACCCTAGATTAAAGTTAAGCTAATTTATACAATAGTATTTAAAAGCACTTAAAATTCCTTCATATTCTAAAGTAAACAAAGAAAATGAGTTATTTTTGGTAATTAAAGTAAAAAGTTGCACATAGACCTTCTATCTGACTACATTTTGGAATTAACATATATACTGCCTCCTCCAAATGAGATTCAAAGGTAATGATAATGTATTTGTCTTGAAGAAAGTATGAAAATAACCATAAGAAAAAAATAATATTTTCATTTGCAAATCCCTTTTCTATTGAAACAAACTGCTTTTTAATATAGAAATGTGACATTTTTCTTCATGCTATTGAGCAATATTTTCTCACCCAGTATTTGCTTGACTGTGTCTGCTTAGAGTATCCAATCTCCTACAAGCTTAGAATTGATCTGTTTACTTAATTCAGCTATGTTTTAAAAATAGCCCTCTATCAGTTTATCTGTCTTCTGTGGATACTATTTCCATGGATTAATTAAATCTGTCCATTTAATAGGTTGTTTGGTATTTTATTAATTAAATTCTTAGATGTTGTCCTTTTACTAGGAAAGACATTTGTACAAGATTCTTTCCCTTAGTGGATGTAAGGTCCTCCACTGTGTTTAATCATTATGTTCTGTCTGAAGTACATTTTGTTTGAAACTAAGTTGTCCCCATAGTTCCCAAAATACTATTTTAAAAAATATTCTTGCAGAGCTTTTTTGTAAACACATTTTTGTTATAATCATCTGTTATCTTTAATTCCCACAATTTTGCATTTAAAATAAAAAATTCCAAATTTTATAAAACAAAACTTTGTTTCTAATTCATTTCACAATTCTTTCTGGATTTTAATACATTCAGTTCATGTTTTGTACAACTATTTTACATCCCTAATAAGAAATGATCTTAAGTGTAGGGAAAGTGGGAAGGGTAGGAGAAAGATAATAAGGGAAAGAAAAAATAGGAGAAAATGAAGAAATGGAAATAAAATGTTTGTAAAGGAGGAGGGGAGGAGGGGGTGAAGGGAGGGCAGGGACAAGGGGAAAAAATGAGAACCAAGACCTGTCACGTAAAGGTACAAGATCCCAATGATGAATATAACTGTACTATATACCTAAAATGTACCAATAAACTCAATGAGGAAAAAAAAAAAAGAAATGATCTTAGAATTTCCAGTTTTAAATGTGACTTTAAAGCATTTAGAATTCTGGAGAGGGTGTGAGCTTGGCAAGCTTGGGGAGGGCATGTGTATAGCCTATGTTAATAACCCAGAGGATATAAATATGTGAAACCTTGGAAGAATGAATACACGCGCACACACACACACACACACACACACACTCTACACCTGGCAATTTAACTCTGCTTTCAATCATCTAATGAAATGCATTGAGAATTTTGATGGTATTGTTTTAGGTGCTTGGGATATACTGAAGAGCAGAAAAAACAAAAACAAAATCTTTACCTTTAGAAAGATTGCATTCTACTGGATCAGGATAAGCAATAAACACAATAAAATGAGTCAGGAAATGATATAATAAGAATTGACGAATGTTGTAGGGGTAAAATGAGTAAAGGGGTGCCAAAGTACTGTCGTAGGGCTGTATTATGGCTTGAGTTTCCATAACAAAATGTGATAGACTAGGTTTATTAAAAATAAGAAATTTATTTCTCACAGTTCTTTTTCTTGGCTTGCACAAGTTCACCTTCTTACTGTGTGCTCATATGACACAGAGAAAGAGAGTAGGCACACACACACACTTTGGTGCCTTTTCTTATAAAGACATTAAGATCAGAACACTACTCTTCTGACTTCATTATCTTAATTACTTCCTGTTAGAAATATTACATACAAGAGACTTCAAAAACTAGTGAGGCAAAAGAAGAGCACAGTTCAGAGAAAATGGTAGAGGATGACTTTAAAGAGAGATTAGCAGAATTAAATCATAAAGGATACCCTGAAAGTAATGGAGCAACATTGCTATATTGATACTTTAAGTCTTATCTTTTAAGATATTCATTCAATCCTTGTTGAAAATACACCATTATTGTAATGGTGAACCTATGGTATGTATGCTACAGCAGACTCTTTGTTATCATTAAAAGCTCTAAAATGTTCACCATCCCTGGACTATTGGAAAGGAAAGCAGAAAGTCACTAACCTAGCAATGAAGCTATCTATAACAGTTGAGAGATGTTAGTTCTTCACAGTAATGGAAGCAGAGATTGTAAAAATTTTCAGAATTTAAAAACATTTGGAAAGTCAAATTTATGGGATTTCCTGCCATTATGATGTAAAAATTGGAATAGGAAAATAATTATAGGATTACCAAAGGCTTTTTTACTTGACCAACTCTACAATAGAATTTCTATCAACTGTCTTTAAAAAGTTTGTAAAGTTGGAACTGACTGGACAGAATTAGATCACAAGTTTGATGTATCTATCAGACATACAAAGGGAAAGTTCAAGTAGATAGTGGGATACATGAGTCAGGATTGTAAGAAAATGGCTTAGAATAAAGACATAAATTGGAAAACTACTGATATGTACATTGCATTTACATGTCAGATTACATGTCAGCTCCAAATAAGTAAAGAAGAAAAGAGCGTGGAAATTGAACACCCTGATAGTAAAATACTGAGAAAAGAATAAGCCAAAAGAGAAAAAGAAGAAACAATTATTGAAATAAGAGTAAAATCAAATAATGTAATTTCTTTCAAGACAAGAAAATGAGGAAAGCACAGTAACTGAGTATGTCTAAGGTTGATGACAAGTCCAGTAAAATGATTGAAAATTGACCAATGGTTTTAGCAAAATGGATTCAGTAGTGACCTTGATAATAACAGCTTTTGTGGAATAGTAGGCAGTAAAGTCTGACAAGAATTCAAGAGATATTGAGCAGAAAAATTAGTACAGCCAACTCCTAAGAAGGACAGTGGCAAAGAAGAGGGCAGAAATTAACATATTTTGAACCCACAAATACCATACTTATTTATGAGTTGTAGTCAGACAAAGGAGAAAAAAATGTTCCCAGGATAGCCCCCAACACTTTTGCTACATCTGTGAGAGCAATTGTCAGTCTCTAAATAAGAGTCTTTCAAATTTTATTCAAACAGCAATGTATAATAGAACATATGAGTTTAGGAAAGAGTTTTATGGCTGAAAATATTGGGGTCATCAGCACATAGAGGGTAATTTAAAATCATTAGACAGCATGAGATCACCAAAAAGTAAGAAAATGGGTAAGAGAAGGCTGAGCATCTGAGATCCCTCTGAAATATGAAAGGAAGATAGCAACAGAAAGTGATAAAGCATAGTTAAATAGGAGAGAAACAGAAGTTCAAAAAGCATTTCAAGGGGAGAGAGTGATCAATTATGTCAAAGGATAAAACCAGTCATGGAAAATCTGATCTTAAACTCATAACAGAAATCATTGGTAATCTTTATAGAAGATATGGTGTAAATCTGAAAGAGGGAACCTGATTAAAATGGGTTCAAGAGGGAATGGGAGGAAATAGAGACAACAAGTAATAGCACAGACAACTCAAAAAGTTTTGGATAGAAGAAACAGAAGACCTAAGCGAAGGCTAGAAGGAAAGGAAAGTGAAGAGAGCTTCATTTCTTTATTTCAATAAGAAAAACATCCACATGCTTGTATTCTGCCCAGAAAGATCCGTTAGAGACTGAATGAGGAATGGGGGATGTTTTTCTCCACAATATATTAGGAAGACTATTTCTTGAGAAGCAAAAAAGTCCCGTTTCTATTAAAATAAAATTCTGGAGGGATGTTCAGAGAGGAAAATAAGTGTAAAGAGGATTTTGCTAATGATGGATCATGAATTTCAAAGGTAATAAAGGGGGAAATTGGAGGGGTAGGGAAAAGCAAAGAAGGAAATGGAGTAAATATGAAAATATAATGAAAACAAAGTCTTTGTAGATAGGGAGGGGGAAGAGAGGGCAGGAGAATGGGGGAAAAATAAGAACCAAGACTGATTATGTAAAAGTAAAAACTTCCAACAATGAATGTCATTATATTGTATACATTCCATGTAACAATCAAATTAATTATTTTTAAAAAGGAATTGAAGAGAGACCTAAGCTGGGTATAGGAGGAAGTATGCAAATTCTATGAAGATTAAGTAAAGATGGCCCAGCAGCTTTGAAGTGTTGGAAGTTACAGACATAAATAGAAGTAAACGAGATAAACCCTGCTGATCCAAAGCAAGTAATGGTGATACAGCATAGTGTGGTGCTAGAAAGGGCGGTGTCTGGGAGTCTCTTCCTTCCCACCTTGATGTGTGGCAAGCACCGCTCAACTTTTCACCAATCTATGGCAATTTCCCCCACCTCTCAGATGCCAAGAATATTGCTTAATTTCTAAGGAGACAGGCTATTTGTTCTTCATTTGTATGTCACCACTTCAGATCATCACCTCTGAGTTTGCTGAGATTTGTTGGGCAGGCCACAGTATGTATGCTCTGTTCGTTCACCTTTTAAAGATCTGCTAATTTGATGTTACATTTTTTGATGCATTTCAGAAGAGATTTTCATGAGAAATTTAAGATGATATAATTTCACTTTGCCATTGTAAAACTGAACCGTCATCAGATCAACACCTCCAACCCCCATTTTGGGCTCTTCAACCACACTCCCACAGAAATCAAGGACTGCTATAAATCCAGAGACTCCCTGTATATCATAGAGACAATCCCTGTTCTCCCTGTTCACCCACAAGAAATTTTTTAGCAATATGACTTAGACAACAGAGATGAGCAAATAGCAGAAGTGGCCCCAAATAGCACGTGCACTCTATGTAAAAATTATTTCCCTACATGATTAAATAATTGTGTATTTTTATAAAACTCTTAGTACAAAAGCCACTCCCATATAGATTAGACATTCCACTTAGATCCCACAAATTGTAAGTTTTGCTGTTGTTGTTGTTGTTGTTTTAATTAGAGAGCTATATTCTTATTCTGCTCTTTGGAACTCTCAAGTGACTAACTATATTTGCTAGAATTGGGAAAAAGAAACTAAATTAAATTTCCCTAGAAACTGAAGAATATTCTTTGCTTAATTATAGTAACAATTTGGCCTTTTGCCTTGGGCTCAAGGGTTGACCAAATGATTTTTAGTAGAAAAATCACAAGGTTTGTGTAAAGATGAAAGAACACTAATTACTCTGATACCTTTTGCAATATGTAAGTGCTTATTTCCCAAAATTTGATTTTCATTTTCCTGATGATACTGCAGATGATGCCATAACCATGCATTATAAGAAACTATAGATTCCTCTCAGTAAAAGTGACATCATCATATAAAAACCTATAGCATTTTTCCAGTCCTCCTAGTGATGTGAAATATCCTTCCTCTGTCTAGTCCCAGAAACTATAACAGGAGACATGGAATCAGCAATGGCAGTGGATTTAAATCCTTGGGTGGAATATGAATTTCGAGTGGTGGCCACCAATCCCATTGGGACTGGAGATCCAAGCACCCCATCACGATTGATCCGCACAAATGAAGCAGGTAAGAATTTGGAGACTTGGGATTCACATGAAGGTGAGTTTAATTAATTATGATTGCTGTTTGCTCGCCATTGTAAAACTTGTCCTGATATTCTCACCTAGACATCACAGGATCATATACTTTGAAACAATTCTTACAGTTTTCGTGGTTTTAGGTCTTTTTCTATTTGTTTCTGTAAATATAAGCCTCTAAATACTTCACTTTTCTCCAAGTATTTGTACTGTCTTCTTGTTACTTTGAAATTGAGTTGATTTTCCAATTATATACTTATTCAGTATTGAATGCTCATAAATTAAAACAGATCAGCTCACTTTATTCTCCAGTGATAACACATTCCTTTAACACTATTCTGCTTTCTTAGAACTCCTTTATGTTGCCTTCCCTTTACCATCTAACAGATAATTACACTTTGTAAAGACAGTCCTTCCTTGACCTATTGCCTTTATTGAAGCCCATGTGTCTAATAAATACTCATCTGGTCTCTGACTTAGAAACAAAGCATTCCTTTGGTCTTTAGGAATGAGTATCTCTGGTAAAAGTTGTTTCTAATAACTACATAAAAGAAATTAACAGCTTTATTTAAAAACAAACTGGGCCAGGGATTTAGCTCAGTGGTTCTGCCACCTTCCTTGCAAGCACAAGGTCCCAAGTTTGATCCCCAGTTTAAAGAAGAAAAAAAAAGTTAAAAACAAATAAATGAGTCCCAGCTCTTTGAGGTATCTCCATACTGATTTCCATAGTGGTTGTACCAGTCTGCACTCCCAACAATGGAGAAGGGTTCCTTTCTCTCCACAACCCCGCCAACATCTGTTATTGTGTGATTTCTTGATAGCAGCCATTCTTTGTGGGATGAGGTGCAATCTCAGTGTTGTTTTCTGCTGCATTTCTCAAATGACCAGTGATGTGGAACATTTTTACATATATTTACTTGCTGCTTTTACTTCTTTGTGTGAGAAATGCCTGTTCATTTCAGATGCCCATTTTAAATTTGGGTCTTTATATTTGGGGGGTCTGATTGTTTTGAGTTCTTTATATAGTCTAGATAATAGTCCTTTGTCTGAACAGCAGCTGGTACAAATTTTTTCCCACATTGTAGATTGTCTCTTAGTTCTGTTGATGATTTCTTTTGCAGTGCAGAAGCTTTTTAATAAGATGAGATCCCACTTGTTGATTCTTTCTGCTAGTTCCCGTGCCAGTGAGGATTTGTTCATAAAGTATTTACCTATGCCAGTGTCTTCAAGAGTTCTGCCTAACTTATCTTCCAGCAAGTTTAGTGTTTCTGTTTTAATATTTAGATCTTTAATCCACTTGGATTTTAATTTAGTGCATGGTGAAAGATAGGGGTCTAGTTTTAATGTTTGGCAGGTTGAGATCCAGTTTTTCCACACCATTTATTAAAGAGGCTATCTTTCCTCCAGTGGGGATTGTCAGCTCCTTTGTCCAAAATGAGGTAGCTGAGTACATCTGGATTTGTTTTTGTGTCTTCCAATCTGTTTCACTGATCCTCAGGTCTGTTTCTTTGCAGCCTAGGATGGTTTGCTATTCTAGGTCTCTTATGGTTCCAAATGAATTTTTGGATTATTTTTTCTAATTTTGTGAAATATAATGTTGGAATTTCAATTGGCATTTCACTGAATCTGTATAGCAGTTGTGGTAGTATGGCCACTTTCATTATATTGATTCTTCTTACCCAGGAGCAGAGGATATCTTTCCATTTTCTTATATCCTCTTCTATCTCTTTTTTCAGAGTGCTGTAGTTTTCAGTGTAGAGGTCTTTTGCTTCTTTTGTTAGATTGATTCCTAGATACTTCATTTTTTGGGGTGCTATTGTGAAAGGAATTATTTCCCTAATTTCTCTCTCAGTGAGTCTGTTATTTGTGTACAAGAAGACTGCTGATTTTGGGATGTTGTCCTTGTATCCAGATACTCTGCTAAAAGTGTCAGTTAAGTCTAGAAGTATTTTGGTGGAGTTTTTAGGGTCTTTAATGTAGAGTATTCTATCATAATGACAGTTTAACTTCTTCCTATAAGATCCTAATGAGATAATTGACAATATGAAATAGGAAGAAAAGGGCTAAAGGTGTAGGGAAAGTGAGAAGGGTAGGAGAAAGGTAATAAGGGAAAAGGAAAAAAATATGAAAAAATGGAAATAAAGTGCTTGTAAATGGGGAGGGGAGGAGGGGGTGAAGGGAGGGCAGGGACAAGGGGAAAAAATGAGAACCAAGACCTGTCGTGTAAAGGTACAAGATCCCAATAATGAATGTAACTGTACTGTATACCTAAAATGTACCAATAAACTCTAAAAAATATTTCGTCTATCACCTAGAAAGAACAGAAGCACAAATAAAATTAATAGTGAAACTTTTTTTTTCCAAGGCAGACCCCTTGTTTTATTTTTTTTCAGCTTTAATCCAAATGGATTAAAGATCTAAATATTAAAACAGAAACATTAAACTTGCTGGAAGGTAAGTTAGGCAGAACTCTGGAAAACATTGGTATAGGAAAAGACTTTATGAAAAAATCCTCAGTAGCACGGGAACTAGCAGATAGAATCAACAACTGGGATCTCATCTTACTAAAAAGCTTCTGTACTTCAAAAGAAACCATCACCAGAACTAAGAGACAATCTGCAATGTGGGAAAAAATTTTTACCAGCTGTTCCTCAGACAAAGGACTATTATCAAGGATATATAAAGAACTCAAAACAATCAGCCCCTCCAAATACAAAGACCCGATTCAAAAATGGGCATCTAAAGTGAAACTTTTAAGTAGAATTTTAATTACTTTGGACAAAGTCTTATTGAGATCTTTTATGTCCCCATACAATTTTGTATTAATTTTATAAAGCACTTAGAAAAAAAAGGTGTTAGAAGTTTCCCAACACAATGATAAATGTTTAAGGAGATGGAAATGCTGATTACCCTGATTTGATATTATACACTTTACACATGTATCAAACTATCACTTGTACCTAAAATGTATATAAAAACATATAGTCTATTGATATAGTATCTAATAAGGCAGTTACTTAAGTGAACACAAACAATAATTTAAGACATGTCAAAATAATAGAGAAATGGGAAACAAGGGACAGAGTATCAGATATTGATAGGAAAAAACAAGTTTTAAGTTCTTTTTATTGTACTTCATAATAATTTAAAAAATCTTAAAAAGTGCACTAAAAATGAAAATTTTTGTCTTATTTCTTCATGATTTTATCTTTGGAATCTAAAATAGTGTCTGGTTCTGGTACTCACATGTCAGGATTTAAAAGGGAACATTTTCTTTCCTTTGTGCACTTTTACCTGCATCATATATAGATCAGAGGCAATGACCAAAAAAGATTGTGTGCTTTTTGTATTATACTTACAGATTTGGGCCAAAAATATGATTTTTTAACTTCTAAAATATTTAAAAAGTTTATAATGAAGATAAACTGTTAAAACAATTAAGCAGACTTTGTCTAGCCCCACAGAAGACTCACAAATGGTCAATTTATTGCATTAAGTGCAAATAACAATGCAAAATATTTTTTTCATATAAAAAAATCAACCAAGAAAACAAGAGGTAAAATATTCAAAACAGATTTGGGAAAATTCATCTGCAGAAAACTCAGCTTTTCTGCTTTTTTGATTTGCCTGTACAAGTTGTTTCTCCTGCTATTTTTTAGTGAGTTTTAAATTGAACATTAATTGCCTGGTTGAATTTTCATAAATCCATAAAATCATCCATGCTTTCATTGTGTACAGGTGTTCATTAATTAAGAGCATAACAGGTTAGTCGTTCCTCATTTTATGTATTCACCATGCAGATACTGAAATGACTGCCAATCGTAATACTCACACTCACTTATTTTCTAAAAAGAACTGTCTTACTTTGCATATTGTTAATTGTGTTTAAACAAAGACAAAAATTACTGCCTAATTCAGAGACCCTCTATAAATATTCATTTCAAACATAAATAATCCATTTAGGATGAATAATCGTTTCAAACTTTTTATAGCATAAATCTTTTTTGTGCTATTAAAAGCATTTCAGCAAAAAAACACTTTATATTTTAAGTTAGGTCATATTCAGATAGTGCATTTAAAAGACTTCTTCTATTTCTGCAGCTACCCCTCAGTCATTTTCTGTTTCTCCATTTTATCATGAGTTTTATATACATGACATACTTTAGTCCATTAAAATCTTATGGAAGTGGAGAGAAATAGCATAAAAATGCATGAAGTGCCCTCCCCTGAAAGTGTGTTGTGGAAGACTTGTACTGCCTACATTATGCTTCTTTTGCTTGGATACCACATACAACTAGAGCTACTAATGGTGTTGAACCAAGTGTTGAGTTTTGTGCCTGTTTTGTCAGGCAGCACAGATTAAAAGGGACACCAATATCATGAAATATCCTCTCAAGTGTCACACTCTGCCTCTGTTAAGTACATATCCTATATTTTTAAAAATGAGCCTGTTTCTAATGAACCAACTAAACTTCAAAAATTGACAATGCTGCCTAGGAGAAAAGAAGTGTCAAATTAGGATGTTAACTGAATGTTTTATTCCCTTTTAAAATTCTCTTGTTAGAAAACTCTAAATTCTAAAGTAGTTTTAGTAAAACATTTCTACCTTAGCATTGCTTTTTTCTCAAGCAACAGCAACAAAAAAGTGTTCTTTGTATTTTTCCCTCAATGGCATATTTTGAATTTTCCAGGCTTCAAACACCTTGGTAATTAATAAAGATAATATAAATTGGTTGGTCCAGCTTTTTAGTATTAGTATGTTAGTATTTAGTTGTAAAAATATTAGTATAAATACACAGTTCTACATGAACATACATTTACTGTATATTTTTTATAATTTAATTTTCTTACGTTTTATTTAGATAATGATTAAAAAGAAAGAGATAATGTTGTGTTTGATTTATCATGTTACCATCAACATAAATTTGGAGTGGGATAATCTAAATGTTTTGCAATTTAATAAGATGAGACTCAAGAGAGAAAATCACA